CTCATTAAATGAAATCAACTTTGTCAATTTCCAGTGCATCTCGATATTTAAGCTAAACTACTGTGAAGATTTTTCAACAGTTGACAATTGTTGTATAAATTAAAATAAAGAATTATATAAACCAATATGACCTGTGATTGTCTCTACAGCGGAATGGTATTCTCTCAAGACTGAAAAACATTTTTCCACAGCATAACGCAAGTATTCCTCACGAAGTGCTTCAAGTTTGGATGCAAGCTGTAGAAAGTATCCAAAGTAACTGAGTTATTGAAATATTTTATCATTTAGAAAATAACAGTCATAAAGACTTGAAAAGTATTGAGTTTCAATCATGAAGACAAACATTTGGAACAAGATCACCATGATTCCTGTAGTATGCTTTGCCAAAAGCTGTCATCCCTGTCTGCAGAATCAAAAATTCTGCCAACTTGGAAGCATCTAACGTGGCCTTTGAAGAGATCCAGCACATATTATCAACCCCAAACATTTCCTCCTCAATTACTCGTGCTGTGAGAAATCCAGTGAGAAGTATTAATAACTTAAATGAAGCCAGTGAATAAAGTAGTGATCCTAATATAATTTTAAAGAGTGAATGCCAACGTGCAAGAGACTACCCTGGAAGCAAAATTGATTTTTGATTTCACATTTTAAAAAGGAATTATCAACATTTAATAGACAATGTAGGACGGAGGTGGGAGTGGGGAACTGACAAGCTGAACCAATAAAGGCAAAGCCATTAAATTCGCGACTCTTCATACCTGACACTTGATAACTCTGTCTAGATTCATTTAAAATAAGGTTTTAACATCAGGTATCGGTTCCATTTATTTATACAAAAGAAAAAAAAAACCCTGAAACCAATAAAACAATTCATATTTCAATGACTACAATATTGAATTGGTAAGCTAGATACGATCCTCTCCCTTTCTCAATTTCTTCCCAAAGGAAATCCCTCGTAAGCTTCTCCAAGGATTTACTGTGGGGTGGTTCATGCAATTTACCCAAAGTTTAATTTCACCACACATAGGAACTCCCAATAGAAAACAAACCATAGAAAATTATAAAGTAAAGCATAAGAATTTTATATAACTTACGAGCACATGCACGGACAATGGAATTAACATAATCTATTTTTCTTGAAAACACTCTCCCTGGAATTTCAGCATAATGCATATTTGGCTGACTACGGATTGATTTTATATCCGTCTGCAAGGATAAGAATAAAAAATAGTTAACGTGCCTTTTAACCAAGGAAATGTTATAAAACTTTCAAACAAGACAACAACACTACCTTGATGAATGGGCGGTGGGTATCTGGAAAATAGGAAGCCAGAATCGCAACGGCTGCTTCCCTATATGCCAATCTTAGTTTCAAATCTTCTGGAATTTCAGTACTATCTTCCTGACCAGTTTCAAAGGTACCCTTTTGCTGCAAACCATTGAGCAAGTAGAGAAATGTTGATAATGCAGCAACCCAACAAAAAATAGTGCAATGCGTTTATCCTTTTACAAGGAAAAAGTGCTATATCTAGGCTCCTGAAGAATGGAGGGAGTGGGGGCAGGCAAATATGACTAACCCTTTTCAATGCTTCAAGCAACTCTTCACGTCCAATATAGTCCAGATCCTTTCTGGCAGTCAAAATTCCAGCTTCGTTTCTGTCCAAAATTGAAAATAAATAAATACACAACTCTCCTTTGAAGTATAAAATGCACATAAAAAATCTTGTTGAAATATAGTCACAGCTTAAATATTTTCTTATTAGTACAGTATATTTTGCAATTCTGCCCCTGTGAAATCTTCAGTTAGCTCAGCAATTTCTTGAAGTAGAGCCTCCTTAATCTCCTCAGAACGAAAAAATTTATTTCTAGCATGCACCTGCAATCACATGCAGATCCTAATAAGATATCATAACTTTTTAAGAGTTTTCTGACTCTAAGAACGAACCAACTATCTGAATACCTTTAATATGGCCAATCTTCCATCTTTAGATGGCAAACCAACTCTTATAATTTTATCAAAACGGCCCTTTCTCAACAGAGCAGGATCGAGAATATCAAGTCTATTTGTTGCACCAATAACTAGCACCTGAAAAATTCAGATTTACCGATCAATCAGAAACTAACTCTTTTAAGTTTAAGAAAAGATGAGAAAAAATTCCTAAAAATCTAGGTGGGATGATTTTTTTATATGGGGGAGCTCTTTCGGATCTTGATCTGACCCAAGAGAGTTAATATTTTCTATTATATAAAGAAAACTTTTTTTTTTTTAACGAGAAACGTAACATTTCATTAAGGAAATGGAAAAAAAAAAAAAAAAAAAACTAATGCTCTAGAAATACAAACTCCACTAGGAGAAAGAAAAAGAAGGAAAACTATATCAAAATAAGAAAACTTTGAAAGTCAGTGAATGCTTTCTATGAAAACACAACTTCTTCCATGATTAACAGCTCCCAATTTAAAAAGTAATGACTTCAGCTTCCATGTACCACTGCAGGCTATAAACACCTGGATCTCCCATCTCTCGTATTCTAAAATAACTATCCTGCTCCTCTTATGTGGACTGAATAATGAATATTAAGCAAAATTTAGATTAATAAATCATAGAAAATTGGAAAGGAAAAACCTATATTCTAAAATATGGACATATATAGATGAGAATCTGTGGCTGGAAATTAAGACGACTTCCAGATAGGATACTATACAATAACAATAAGTTCACGTTCTCTACATACCTGTGCAGTAGAAACCTTGAATCCATCCATCTCAGTCAATATTTGAAGTAGGCCTTGTTCCCTTTCTGCTCCACCCTGCATAACACATTCTATTAAATCTATATTGCATGCAATGAATATTCAAGTTCGTGCATGTTAAGTGAGGAGCAGAGTTCCATAGCAAAGCCACTTTACAGCATATCCCTTAATATAGATGCATTTGAAGCTACAAAATCAGGTCCATATTCAATAGTAATCATTTCCAGCTGTCAACCACAGACACACAAAGATGATAGTTCGGCACACCATCAAAAAGAGTACTGCAAAATTTCTAACAAGTTGCATGTTTTTTTTTTATCGTTTGAGACTAAGGTTTATTTTACCATTTCAATGGATTTGGTTACAGGTCAATCACAAATTACTTTTGTTGTTGCAAGTCTAAATTAGACTGTTTTTTTTTTTTAATTATTTTTAGAGAATTACACGTCCCTCTTATAGGAAAAATCGACTAAATCTAAATAGATAAATAATCTAAATTCTCTAGATACTGGATAATCTAAATAAATACCTATAAAATGGGTAACTAAATCTAAATAATAAATACTTCAATATCATGTGTATGTCTTTTTTCATACAGGGACGACAAGTGGAGCTCAAAGGAATACATTCCACTATGGCAGAAGGCGCCTGAACTCAATTCCTTGCATCCAACCACTATCCAGGAAATGCAACTTCAGAAATTGCTAGTGGAAAATGTTTCTCTCTTTGATCAACCAACGGGGATGACTCCTAGCCCATCTTGTGATCACCGAATTCCCTTGGATACTGAAGCTACACCTGTGGTGGTGCGCCCCTACAGATATCCCCATGAACAAAAGGATGAGATAGAACGCCAATGTGCAGCCATGCTACAACAAGGGATCATCCGTCCCAACTGGTCTCCTTTTTCTTCTCAGGAAATTCTAGTTCTGAAAGCTGATAATTCATGGCGCTTATGTGTGGATTACAGGGAACTCAATACAAAGACCATCAAAGACAAATTCCAATATCAGTCATTGATGAACTACTTGAAGAATTGGGAGGAACAAAGTTCACAAAGTTAGACTTGCTATCCGGGTATTATCAAATTGCCATGGATCCTCCCAATATTGAGAAGACAACCTTTCAAACACATCAGGTCATTTCGAGTTTTTGGTCATGATTGAGTCATGGTTCAATTGATATAGCAACATTTATTACACAACTTGTATAAATAGTCATAAACATCAATGAAGATGGTACCTAAAAGTTTTCAACTTAGTCTTGAGTACTTTAACTCAAAGGTATTAAGGTTCCCTCAACTTGAGCCTTACAAATTCAACATAGGTCGAAAGAAGAATTCTACTTCTTCTCCCACACAAACATCGTCTACCTCCACTTACGAGAGACCCATAACTCAATCACAAACTTGGGCCCGTAACAGAATCATTTTCCTTCCCTTACCTGAATCTTATGATAAGCTAATAATAAAATAATTAAATAAATAATAATAATAAATTAAAAAAAAAAAAAAAAAAAAGACAAACAATAAAAAGTTGTAGAGCTACTTAATAGCTTTAGAAATTCACCTACCGAGGAAAGGGAAAGGCAAAGATGATTATAGTGACCAATCGCACAAAATTCCCTGCTTTATTTTAATAATGATTATTTCTAGTTTCACACTTCAGCAGGATATCTCACTTTCTTGTCCTAAGAAAGCCTAAATACTCTGAGGCTTCAGTCAATTCCATGTAATAATCACATAAGCATATGGCAGAAAAAATGAAATACCAAATAAAAATGCAGGTGGAAAATTTTGAGGTAAACACATTATTTAGAAAATGGGATGAAGAAAAAAGTGTGTTTCCCTTACTCCACCAATATCAGGTCCACCACGTTTGCTACCAATGGCATCTATCTCGTCAATAAATATAATGGAAGGTGCATATGATCTGGCGCTAGCAAAAAGATCCTTCACACGGGAGGCTGCCACTCCCACAAACATCTGGCGAAATAAATAACAAATTGCTGACGTTTCTGAATCCATTTTCTTTAATCAAGTACATCAATCTACATTTAAACAATGATTTTTATTCATGTTGCAACAACACATGATTTTATAACTAACCACCCTTAATATGAAAACCCGAGTGAATTGAAATTAGGAACCCTTTGGTTATGTGAACTTAATTCACAAACACTAAAACCTCTAAATCTATTCGAGTTCAACCCTAAGGACTAAGTTAGACAAGGATTGCCTTAAGATCAAACTCTTGAGACAGAACAAGTTGCTTGGCCCAAGATATGAACACTCCACAAAATAGGATGATCAATCCTACTTGAACGTTCTTGGCATGCAACTCAATGCATGAATTGCAAAATTCAACAAGCTTTTTTGGCTAAACTTGAAAGAAGCACCAAGGCTAAAATTCAATCATCACAATCTATTTCCAAAACAACCTGATGGCTAGGGTTTAGATAGCCTCCCAATGAAACCCTCATGCCACATTGACCATATCAAAACTACAATAATGCCCCTACTTAATATCATGAAAAGGATAAAATTCAAAAACAATAAAATTACATAAAAATTATTAGATAAAATATGAATAACAATTCGGTGTTCTTGGTGATTCATATTAACCCAGTCAGCTCATTCCAGAAAGAGTGAATGGGCTGAACTCAGATGCTGTACCCAAAAGACTGAGCACCGTTAAATAGAATAAGTGAGACTGGTGCAGAATAAGCGCTTTTCATTTGGCCTCAAGAAGCAATATTTCTACTTCTATATTATCATTTTTTCTTCAAATAAAATGTGTATTTGAATCAAACCTTCCTCTTTTTATTAACCAGGACAATGAAAAAAACTAGCAAAAGGAATGGGAAATTCCACGATTTTTTATAACAAACCATCGGACTAGAAAGGAAGTGTGGGATTTGGCAAACAAGATGACCGGCCTTTTCTATGTGTACTCTTCACTCAAATTTTTGTACTCAAAATGCCTCTTCCTTTTTTCTTCTCTTTTTTTTTTTTTTTTTTTTTTTTTTTTTTTTTTTTTTTTTTTTTTTTTTTTTTTTTTTTTTGTTGCTAATTTTAGTCTTTTTGTGAAACCTCTTTCCCTTTCAAGTTGGATGAGCAACAAACCTCACCTCTACAAAATCCGTTCCATTTACAGCAAAGAATGGAAGTCCAGCTTCACCAGCAATAGCTTTAGCCAGTAGCGTTTTACCAGTTCCAGGAGGCCCATGGAGCAGTACTCCTTTTGGGCAATAGATACCCTTTTCTTGGAAGGTTTCGTCATTTTTGAGAATTCGTACAATCTCTTGCAACTCCCTCTTTATATACTCCTGTCCAGCAAAATCACTGAAAGTGATACCAGTAGTTTCTTCTGCTGATATAAATTTTGCCCTGGTAAAAAGTCATAAAGATTAAATTTCAAATTCCAGGAATGGCACAAAAGATGATCATTACAACAAAAATATGTAACAACACATAGGGATTGGATTCAGAAACCAGAGAGAGAGAGAGACCTTCCTTTAAAGAAATGAAAGTATTGAACGTCGGTCCACTAGCACAAAACTATTTATAAGCATTCTGAATTAGAGAAATAGGAGACTACTAAAGCAATTAAAAGAGCCGCAGTCTACATTGAAGCTTTTGCAGAAGTGTCAACCAACTGAACAAAATTAACATTAACCAGACAGGAAATATTCAAAAAATTAATCAAAGATATCTACTTACCGACTCTTTCCTAAAGATCCAAGTGTCTGGCGCTGGAGTGGTGGTCTAGTTGTTTTTGTAGGAACTCCCAAATCACAAGGTATCAACTTTGCATATATTGGTCTCATCAAGTTATCAATCCAAAGATACAGTGCAACAGAGAGTGCTAGTCGCATAGACCAAACAACTGCAGTTGCAACAGATGAATAGACTTCTGCAGGGACTGCATCCACATTAATTACATCAACATTTACTATTTGTTGATGTAACCTTTTCCAGACATCGTTCCAACAATCAATTGGCATACGATCAATCACATGACGCCGAAAGATGACTTCATTCTTTGCATTTCCACCTGTTCCATCCTTGTAATATGGTAAAATAACTGCACATATGTATAACTATCAACTATCAGAATTTTTTCAGAAAGTAAATATTATACCCTCCTACAGAGATCGCTGAAAGAGAATTTCTTGAATCCATAACTAACAATCAATTGTTAGAGACGTAGAACAGCAAGAATGTCTTAAAAAGCTAATTTACAACAAAATATCTTAAGAGGCTCTAGAAAATTGTAGTCTTTCTTTCTTTCTTTCTTTCTTTCTTTTTTTTTTCTCTTTTTCTTGCTTTTAAATAAACTTGAAAACAAGAAACATGCGTGTGTTCTGAAATATAAAGAGAATTTACTGTGACTACCTGACATTGTCTGACCGTAATTTGAGTACTCAATGAACTGGACATTGTTCGAATTAAGCAGTGTCCAAAAATCACTAAAATTAATTCTGTGGGAATTCTCGGGATCCCACTCAGTTCCCTTTAATTTTCCACGCATGGTCAATAAGGCCCTACTCCAACTAGAAGCCATTACAAGCTGCCTCTCTAATTGCAAATTCGCCTTCCTCTGAAGTTCTTCCAACTTATTTATCCGTTGTCTCTCATCATCCTTCAATTTCTGAAAAATCAAGAAAAAAAGAAAAGGTTAGAGAATCAAATTAGTATTGACTTTCACCTAGAAAAGAAGTTCTTCAATTGCTGTTAAATACATGTGCAGGCACGCGTTGAGTCACCGAGAGCCAAACATATGCCTAGTCTATTGATTTTCACTAGACATAACGATGTCTTCGTCATTGCAAAAATTAAAGACAATCAACATAACGATTTTATGCAACAAACGCCTTCCATGTAATGGCTACTTTTAGGTTTTAGCCGTCATATAAAAGTTTGTTTTCTAAACACCAGTTTCAATTTCAGGAACTGTAGAACACTTCTCTCTCGTTCAACATCAGCTAACGTTTCTGCCTCTTCGACTTATTCAGTAAGCCGGCACCAAATACATCCGCCAAAATTACCTTTCTCTTCTTAAAGTCCTCGAATCTCCCTAATGAAACATCAATCAGAATTTAAACATAGAAAAGAGAAGAAGAAAAAAACCTCGAATAGCTGAGCTGACTCGACGTCTTCCTCGACATTTGTGGAGGCTATCACCGCATCTGTGTCCGAACTTGAAGCTTTTGGAGTGAAAACTCTGTGCTGCCGGAACTTGGGGAAAGTAAAGATGCGGTCTCTGGAACGAGTTTTGGTAGGTGAACCATGATTGCTACACGATGAAGAACAGGATGAAACTAGCTGAATTCGACCGAGAGATGTAGTGGAAGGAAGAGCGGGATGCGATAATTGCATTAAATTAAGTGCGTTTGAAGCCATAAACATCATGATTCCAGCATTTAGGAATGTCTTCTACTCCCCTATCTGGTCGTCGCACTCAGTTTCTTGAGAACTATGAGATGAAATAGAAGAATGGTGGCTGTACAGAAGCGGGTTTTATCTGAGGTTTTTTGTATGTGTTTTTAGTGCTTCGTACGGGAAAATATTTATGATTTATTAATACCCAAATCTCGTAAAATAAAATAAAATTAATATCAATTAATAAAAATGTTTATTAGTCTAATTTGTTTTTTAATTTTTAAAATTTTAATACCTTAAATATATGACGAAATATCATATGGAGACGTCTCAATATTATTTCTAAACATTTAATATTAATTTTTGAAATATTATGAATGGTTTTTATTTTTTTAATTTAAATGTATTTTGAAGTTTTAAAAATTCAAAAATATTTTTAGTATTTTTAAAACTATTTTTGAAATAAAGTATTAAGTGTACCGTTTTTTTATACAAAATTTAATGATAATTTTATTAATTTAACCGATAACTAACCCTCTTAATTTTTTTCATTCAAATTAATTAAACTATTTTTCCAATTATTGTTGAGTTGCAGATAATAATTATATATTTATTAATAGTAGATTTTATATATTTTTAATTCACAAAATAATAAATTATGAATTTAGTTCCGTTGGTTAATATTTTAACAAAATGTTACAAATTTAAATCTTCTCAGTTTAGACAAAAATTAAGATTATAACTCATATATGAAACATGTTTAAATACATAAAATATATATGTGGTATAGGTTTAATAATGTCAGGATATTCTAAAAATATTTAATTTTGATCTTTAGAAGTTTGAAATTTATTTCTAAATAATATATTTAAATAGTTTTTTTCCGTTAAAATGAGATGAAAATTAACCGAAAATATGATGTGGAAATTTTTGAAAACGTGTGATTTTATTTATTTATAATTAAATAACGTACCAAATTAGACGAATATCCATCCTAATTCATGTGCCAGTTTTTATAAGGTAAATTTTCATATATGATTTTATTTTGAAAATAGTTAGGAACGTTTCCAAATTTTTATACAGTATCATCTTCAATTGATATGAGATCTTACAATCTATTCATTTGGGCCCAACGACTTGACTGGCAGATTGTTTGATGTTTGATTTTGATAGCATTTGTAACAACACAAGCCAACCACTGACAAATATTGTCCGTTTTGCCCGTTTTTATCTCCAATCAATGTAGAATCTCACAATCCACTTAATTGGGCTCAACATCCTCACAAACATACCATCTAGTGTCTGCCTTTGATATAACTTATCGTATATTTAAAATTTGAAGATGCAGTAAAAACGACGTATAATCTACATGTAAGTGTGTAATCTATAATCATCTAAATTGTATTAATCGAACCATCTTAAACTTAGCTCGGTTAATATTTGCACCCATGAGGGCAGATTGGTAATTTGACATGCAAGTTCTTCAAATTAGGAACATTTGGTATGAATTAATGACGATAAAATGTAAAATCGAAAAGGCAACGGGTTTGAAAATGACAGCTTTGGAAGGAAAAAAAAAATTAAAAAAATAAATAAATAAACGCTTCCCCGTTTTCCCACCAGGACAGCTTCGTGATCAGCAATTAAAATAAATAATGAAAAAATGAAAATTAATTGCCACTTACGTTGTGTCTGTCTCTCTCATCTTCGACCTTTCTTTCTCTCTCCCTCCAACAATTTCGACGACCACCACCATCTCTGCACTACTCCCCAACACCACCTCCAGCACTTTACCCCCCACGCTGCTTAATTTCTCATACGGATTTCAAGATCCACACGTTCAACCTCGGTTTTTCTTCGCGCCATTTCTTCAA